CCTCCCCCCTCCTCCTACCTCCCTTCTCTCTCTCTTTCTCTTTCTCTTTCACCTTTCAAGACCAGCCCACATATCCAGTCTGTTGACGCCCTCCTCTCTTCTGTCCATAGTCCTTGGGTATAAAGAATCCTTATGGATGTTAAAATAAATTCCATAGTTTGTACATGTCAATCTAAAGTTTGTCATAGGGAGGTAGTGTGCCAAGTGGAAGAGCAAGGGTTTTGGAATCTGCAGATGTGAGTTAGAATCATGGCTTCAGTAACTAGCTGTGTGCTCTTGTAAAAGTCAGTTGGCTTCTCACTGATTGTTGATTTATCTTTAAAATGCAGGTAAAAATATTTCTTATACAAGATTGTAAGGATTAGTGATATTTTGAAACTCACTAGTAAATGTCCTAGACATAATAGACATTCATTAAATGGTAGCTATTAAGAGGAATAAGAAAGTAGTGTTCAACTTTGTTGTTGTTAATTTGCTAAAGCGTGGAGGGTTTTTGTGTTCCTCCAATAAGTGGTCTCCCCGCACTCTTTTTTTTTAAAAATAAATTGTTATTTTCTTCCAGAGCTTGCCCTTGCATCTCTCTTCAGCCTTAATGCCTTATTTGATTTTTGGAGATATTTCAAATATACTGTGGCACCAACAAGTCTGGTTGTTAGCCCTGGACAGCAAACACTTTTAGGGTTGAAAACGGCTGGTAAGTGTTTTATATCTCTTCCAAAGGTGGAGAAAAGGTTGGCAATAAATCTTCCTCAATTTAATTTTCCCTTTTCATAGACTCTGAGCTGGAAGGTATTTCTAAGGCCATCTGGTTCAACTGTATTAAGCAGGTCTGCAATAAGTTGTCGTAAGACCAATGATTATCATTCTTACTGTATAAATTCAACAACCTCATGGAAGTTTGTTCTGTTATTCACTTAAAATCAAAATTAAATGACTACCGTCTTGCTGTATTGAAGCTAATTTCTTATTTTGAACTCTGGGAAATGGTAAATAATTGATGTCTGCCCTTTGTTAATAATACTTTATATAATTTAATAACCAAGTCACTCTGTTACTTTCTTTTTTCCTGAAGAAAAGGCCTAGTTTCTTAAATATGTTTTCATAGAAATTTTATTTGTATGTACATACATATATATGTTTCTTTTCTCCTTCTAGTTGTACAGACTACTCCTCCACATGACCTGACAGCCACACAAATCCCTCCCTCTCCACCTTCCCCTTCAATTCAGGGTCAGAGTGTGTTGAGTTATAGCCCATCTCGTTCACCGAGTACCAGTCCCAAGTTCACTACCAGCTGTATGACCGGATACAGCCCTCAACTGCAAGGTCTGTCCTCAGGTAGCAGTGGTACTTACAGCCCTGGAGTGACCTACTCGCCTGTCAGTGGTTATAATAAGGTAATGACTCTTCTCTCTCGGCTAGTCACGTTATTTTAGAATTGGGAGGTACATTAAAAATCATCTAGTGAGTCAAAACTGCTCATTTTATCAATGAGCAAACTGAGGAACGGGATAATTGCCTTGCCCTAATCACCCATTTAAGAGCTAAGAATAGGACACGATTTCCTGACACCTACTCAGAAGTTCTTTATGTAACGTCTTAAAATAAAAGAAAGAAATTAGCATTTGCAAAGATGATGAACTGAGATTTACTATCTGGGATCTTTCAGCAGTCTTTAAAACAATTCAAAATTGATGATTTGTTACATTAGTGTCCTTTATTCATGGTTTCCCTCTTGGCTGCTTTATGTGAAGGCTTTGTATTCCCCTGTAGAATTTTAATGCTTTTTTTATCATGTTGGAGTATCTTCTAAACTAAAAACTGGGATTATCATGTAGTTTGATTCTTGAGTATGGACACTGTCAACGGAAAAAAAGACCAAACTCTGTAAAGTAATTTTAAAGAGATTTACTCTGAGCCAAATTTGAGGACCATGACC